TCTGCATTTTTATCTCATTCTTTTGCTAATGTTTGGTCTATTTGCACTGTCACTATTCCTGCATGTGAAACCAGGTCCTTTACGTGATTGCTTGCTGGCTTTTGCATCTTTAGATGTTTCTGAATCTTGGTGAAGTTTGAATTAGAATGATTGTGGCTGGATTACCTTTCTGCAGGGTTTAACAATTGTCACACATGTACTCAAAGAAGGTGGAAAATTTATTGCAAAGATATTTCGTGGAAAAGATACAAGTCTTCTGTATTGCCAGGTGAATAAAATGCTGTTCTTAAATGTATCAAATTTTTAAGAATAAGCTCATGAGATCTGATAAAGTTATGAAAAAATGAACCCTCAACACTCAAGTTGAAAGTTTGTTTCTGCTAGTACTTTTATGTCTTCATACCGTGCTGAAATCTCATTATGTGGGAATAATGTTGCAGTTGACAAGATGAGTTTTCCATTAAGATAGAAAAACAATGCTTGATTTGGATGATAAATAAACAAAAGCAATGATGGTAGGATTTTTAAGCCAAACCTAGAACTAAGTCTCCTGGATTAATTTGAGATAAAATGCAGGTAGGCTCTTTAAAATCGGGTCACACATCCCGAGTCAAAATAAAGTGCTTGTAGTCGTATAAAGATTTAGACATTTTTCACTTTAATTATTTGGTTTATATGCTTGTTCCTTATAAATGTCCAAGAATGTCGTTATTGTTTGGTTACTCGGAATTTTTGTATTTTCTTCCCTGTTTCAGCTCAAATTATTTTTTCCTGTGGTGACTTTTGCCAAACCAAAAAGTAGCCGCAATTCCAGCATAGGTAAGTACCTTTGTTGACTGTCGTGTCATTCACTAGTTTATTTTTTTCTGCATCTTTTAAATGTCTTAGCTGAAGTAATTCAAGAGCATATCTTGTCAGAATATCAATTTTACCACACCCAGTACCTTAAAAAATCCATTTCCTGGCATTGATCAGTACTGTAACTCTAATAACTGAGGAATTCCTTCTACTGTTAGAGGGGGTTTTCTTCCATAGGGAGGAAAAAACAGATAAAACATAAACAAAATGTGCTGAGAATGCCTTAATGGAATAGCAACCCCACCCAAGTGGAACATCAACCTCATCTGGGTAGAGGTGAATCCTGCCACAGATTAGACAAATGATTGGCATGCATGAAAAAACCAGTGGATGATTGTAAGTGCCATCCACCAGGCTGCATGACTAGTTTATGCATTATACCTTAAGATAGTATTAAATTGTTTCCCTTCCCTTCCCTTCCCTTGCAGAGGCATTTGCAGTTTGTGAGAATTACTCTCCTCCTGAGGGATTTAATCCAAAAGACTTACATCGCCTTTTAGAAAAGGTGGGAAGCCCCTCTGGTGCAGATGACCTAGGTAATGTAATATTTTTTGTTTTTCAGATACATGCGTGTATGTATGTTTAGATTCTGTTATTGACATGCTAGAGTACATTATTTGGCACAGGTTTTGGTGCATCAACTCTTGGCACGTCATTTTTCACTTTTTTTCCCACTAAAGAATCATCTCTCTGTTGATCACTCATTAACTTTTGATATTGATAACCAACCACAATCCCCCAGCCTTGTACATATATTGTTATTTTGGTTCCTTCTGCATTGACACAAGCTGCACACAACTATTGAAATCAAAACTTCTTGGTGTCATTCTAAATCTTCTTGACCATAAACTAGATAATTAGCCAACCAAAAATTTTAGATCAAGCATTGACATTTAATTGCAATCGTTGGGGGCAGTAGATTATGGCTTTGCTTGAAACCAGTTTGGTATCTGATCATATGATAATATTTAATAGAATGGCTGTTGTGTTGCTTAATGGAAGTTTCAAAATTGTGCTAAGATATCTTGTTTACATGGTGTTATTTCTTCACTCTTATTTTGTATTTTTGAGATGACAGATTGCAGTAGCGGGTGGTTAGAAGGGGCAAGTAAGGTGTATATTCCATTTCTAGCTTGCGGGGACCTTAGTGGGTATGACTCTGACCGATCATATCCGCTACCAAAAGATGCCGATGGCACTTATCAGAGCTTGGATCCTGTTCAACCCCCAATTGCCCCTCCTTATAAAAGAGCCCTTGAAATGAAGAAAGCTTCTAGTCATGGTGTAAAAGAGCTTGAAAAACCCTCTTTGGATTCTTGATTGTGCGAAACTTTTTCCTTTTTTCCACAGCATCAGCTAACAAACTAGGAATGTTTAGCGTTGTTATACGGACCTGTCACTAGATGGCATAATTACAATCATGTGTCTTCGACATTCTGGTCAATTTTTCTTTCAAATTTTTAGCCCATCTTGGCTTTCATGTATTTATACATCTTTATCTGGAGAATGCATACGAGCCAGCGTCAAGAACAATGATGGTTTGTAAGACCCTTTTTGGCTTTGGAGCCATTGCTGCTAGCTTGCTGATGGAAATCTGTCGTGTGATCTACTATTCGAGTAGTGCACATTGTAAGGAGAGTTTACTGGGCGAGCAGGGGGCTTCTTTTATCGGCAAGCAATGCACTTTGGAACTAATGTATTTATTATTTAACTATATTTAATAACACTCGTTTCCTGCCTATTAAAATACTTCATTATTTCTATTTTAAATTATGTAAAATAATTATGATTTCAGTAAGATATAAGATAGGTGGAATTCAATATATGATTATTAATATCAAAGAGCTACAAAGCTCACGCATCACAAATTTAGAATTTCTAAAATGCTTATTGTTACAAAAAATTTCATAATACTTTTACAGGCATGGTTAGAAATTGAAATAATACTTTTCGTATTGTTGTAAAAGAATTTTATATTTCGCTTTAACAAAAATAATAAATTTTTCATATGGTTAATAAATACTTGATTTTTTACTCACACTATGTTATAAGTCATATTGATTTAAAAGAAAAAAGTTAAGAAAATATTAAATGTTTTGGAGAAGGAAAAAATAAATAAATTGTGTGGAGATTGATTTGATATGATTGGAACAACTTTGCAAACTCAAAAGCAACCTAATCAAAACCTAGACAACTTGAATATATATAATTATAAAACTATAATAACATGATAGAAAATAAATTAAAAAACATATCAAAGATCAATTCTCAATCAACTCAATGTTAAAAAATAAAATTGAAGAAAAAAATCAATTAAAAAGGGACAAGAAAAAACCTAATTAACTTAGTTTAATTTATCAAACATGAATTATAAAATCAGGATAACTCAATAAAAAGTAAATCAAAATAAATTATAAAATTTAATTTATAGTTAATCCAACATTGAATGATAAAATTAAAAAAATAATCAATTAAAAATAAAAAAAAAACTCAAGTCAACTTAGTTAATCCACCAAACCCTAAATTTAAGTCATGAGACTAGATAACCTCATAGAAAATAAACTAAAATAAATTATAAAATTTAATTTTTAATTAACTCAAATGATAAATGATGAAATTGAAGGAAAAAATTCAACAAAAATTCAACAAAAAAAATATCAAGTCAACCATTAGAACTAGTGACTCGTGTCAAGAGATTAAAAAAGAGTAGGATGAAATAAAAAAATTAATTAAAATAAAGATAAAAAAAAATTAAGTCAATCTGGTTTAACCTGTCAAATCGTAAACTCGGATCATAAAATTAAGATAATCTCATAAAAACAAACTAAAAAAAATTATAAAATTTAATTTTCAATCAACTCAAATGATAAAGAATAAAATTAAAAAAATCAATTACAAAAAATATAAAAAATCTCTAATCAATTAGATTAACCAGTAAAACTCATGACTCAAGTTTTAAGGTTAAAATAACTTTATAGAAAATAAATTAAAATAAATTTTAAATTTTATTTTATAAATATTATATTATATTATCGCTTGTCTCCTACTACTAGTTATTGGTCATCTTCTTGCGAGCACATTATGTTCTAGGACATTTTAGCACGTAGGTTGTTTATGAAAACATAAATAAAAATAATAAAAATATAAAAAGATAAAATTGAAGTTGAATATAATCATGCAATCTTAATTCATTATTTTATCTACAAGAATATAAATTTAATATATTTTATCTAAATACAAGCTAAGTATTTTTATTTGAACTAATCCTGGTTATTATAGAATTATTTTAGAGATTTTTTAAAAAAAAATTACTAATCTGAACAAGATAGATTGCTGAGATATAAAATTAATGGCAGTCCTTTTGAGCTATGTTTTATTAAATTTCTGCTTTTGGCAATGTAGATGCCGGCACCAGGGGAAAAACTCAGCACCGTTGACGATGATTAGTAGGTGGCAGCAGCAGATCAGAAGTTGTCTTGATTGCCTATACTTAACAGTTTGGGTTTGGTGGAGTGCTCTCTCTCATCAAATAATAACACAGCATTATGAAACTTTCATAAGACTACTCCTCTAGTCCTCTAATGTTAACTTTCTACAATCAGTCAAAAATCCCTATGAAGTGTATGTTCCAATGTACTATATATATATATATATTAAAATAAAAATCCCTACCTAGAAACCCACAAAACCCTCTTAATTCCTTTACTTTAACAAGAAATTAACCTAAAAATTAATTAAAGATTCTGCCTCTCCTAATCTAAGTATATCTGCCTGTGGTCTAAAATAGTTTTTTTGTATAATTAAAAAATAATATAAATTATATTTTAATATATCATTTAAATTTAAGTTATTAAATTAAAATAATTTTTAATATAATATTAGAATTTTAATAACTAAGCGATAGTAATTTAAATTTTATTATTTTTGATTATTTAATAAAAATTAAGTATAAAATAATATAAATTTGTGTAAGTTTTAAATTTAAAGGGTTTTTATTTAAAAAAATATTAAAAAATAATATAAATTATATCTTGAAATATTATCTAATAGTTTAATTTATTAAATTAAAATAATTTTTTAATATATATATATAAATAAAGGTGAAAATAGTGGGCTCGAGACTGCTCACCCTAGCGAAGACAAAATTAAACTAAAAAAAAAAAAAGAATCAAAGAAAGGAAAGAAGAAAGCGCGGGGGAAGCTAGGGCTACCGTGTCTGTACCTAAATAATGGCGGGAAAAAAGGCACCCCGCAAGAATTGGCGGGAAAATGTCCTTATTATCATCATTTAGCAGGCAAAGCCAGTTTCACTCTCCACAGATCTGAAACTAAACCACTAAATTCAGATCAGAAAATGGTGGGACCGATGTACGATTTCCTCGCAAACCCTCTCGGAGCCGTCCGATTAACATTTGACAAGACAATCGGGTCCGGAACGGACCCGTCCTCCTTCGACGGCAAAGATTGGGGCGCCGTCGACCTCTTCCGCCACTTCCTCTTCGACCAAGCCCGCCTCTCCCAGGTAAATAAACACAACCACAACTTTTCAAATCCCTAAAATTCGTGTTTAAATTGTAATTACGTAGTTGGTAATTAAATGCTTAAGTGATACGTGTTAACCAGTATTAATTCGATAATGTAGGTTCCAATTCTTAATGTTGCAACAATAAATTGGATTAAACCGAACACTCTAGTTCGGTTTCGGGGAATGATACAAGACATGTTGGGAAATGAATTATATGTTGGTGCTTATAAGGTATAAATTGTTTTCTTTTATTCTCTATGATGTGATCATATCTTATTGTCCTTTTTTTTTCATTGAAGTAGTTTGTGTGCGCGTCGTGTTTTTGAAGGATGATTCAGTTTGGAGGACCAACAAATTCATGGATATCTCCCAATGCCCCGTGGAACTTAATTCGCCTGATATGCGTCTCTGGGAGCGTCGTTTATTGTACTGTGTTCCGGTAAGTTTTCTACACATCATTTTCCGTGCATTTTCTGTCCCGAGCTTCATTTTGTTAGAGTAGCACATGGATGTGTTGATTATTTATATACATCTATTTTTAATGAGAACTCAACAGTGCTTCTGCGTGGAATTGTAAGCTTACTTGATTATTGGACAGTTCTGAGATCTTCTTTTGCTGGCTTTCTCTAGGTTCCGGGATTAAATTCGTGGGCTGAATCTACTTCTGAGGTAGCAGTAAATATGTGCATGGATTCGACTTCTGAACAAAGAGATAAGCGTAGGAGAATGGACATTGAAGCTGTGGATCCCAATGATTTTCCTGTAATTCCTATCTCTAATTCCTGTCCTTTTTTTTCCCTAAGACAGTTTTTTCCAAATGGTCGAAAATATCACAATTGGTATTTACACCAGTGTGTTCATCTACTTCCATTAACTTTACACCATTGTGTTCAATGTAGATTATTTTCATCTCAGCTGTAGCATTCTTATTATGATGATTAACTCTACCATTGATTCTGGATTAGATTTTTGAGCCACAATGTGATAGTCACTACTTGATTGATCGTAGTAGTCCTTTGTGTAAGAATTCTGAAAGTGAAACCTGTGTTTTGGAGGTGTGTCCTTATTATGTTATCTTGAACATCCTCGTTGAATGACAGGTCTCAGGTGATGAATCTGAAGATTCTCCTAGTGCGAAAAGAATGGTTAGTGTAACGCTTTCTGCCACTTTGTTTTATCTTTGTAGATGAGAAATATGATTGTTTGCATTTCATGAGTGAGAAAGGAAAAATGATGAATTTGAATTCAATGTTTAATAATCTAGTGTAGTTTGCTTTAGTTTCTAATTTTAGTGCAACAAAACAGACTTTGAGAATTGTATGATTGCTCAGAAAAAAAGCATTCTATATTGGTTTGAATTTATTGAGTTATAGAGTGTAGCTTGTTCATCCAATTTTGTTTGCCATCATTCTCTTCAAAGCATTATATTGTTACCTAATGGTTTGCCCATTGCTTTGCATCACTGTCAAATGAACACAGGAATCAATTAATTACTGGCTAATATTAAATTTTGATGAGATCTAAAGCCTTGTGTACTGAAGGATAAAATGCAAAAGAAAATAAGCGTGGGCTTTGCTCTAGATTTTCAGTATTGGGCCTCTCAGGCTTAACAAGATTCTAAACTCAGTTTTCTGTAATTCAGTAGATTATAGTCTTGCATTTCCAATCCGTTGAGTTTGTTTGCAAAAGATCACTCTTTTTGATGGATAGATCCAAATCATTAAATAATATGCACTTGGCTGTGTACTACTGAATTCAGAGGTAAGAGTTACTGACATTTTTTTCCCTTTGCTAGAGAGAGGATCCCTCATCTTCACAGTACCTGGATCCTAAAAATGAAGGGCCTTCTTCAAGCCATGTTATTCTCCCAGACGTTGATAGAGATTCTCTTCCTTGTCTAGTAAAGGTATAGTTGCTCTGTTCTTTTCAAACTCTGGTGTATCTATAAAGCATGTTGAAAGGTGCTCTTTTTTTATTTTTTTTTATTTTTTTGTGTGCAGATATATGATTCTCCAGAGTCTGAGTTGAAGCTAAATGATGTTTTTGAATTTGTCGGGGTCCTCACTTTTGATTCTGAACTTCTATCTGAGAAGGTTGATCAGGATGAGTTCTCTAATGGTCTTGGTGATGACGTGTCTGTCAATTTGCCACCCAACAAGGTATTGACTCCTGTTGATCTGACTAGCTTGCTTTTCTGTATCTACCAACATTCTAATACTAGCAGACATTAGAATTTGATGATGCTGCCATTAATTCTCATTAACAAACTGATTTTTGTTTTTGATCCAATCTCATAGAATAGTTATTGATTCTGACTACGCATGTTACAGATACACTTCCATGAGATACCATGTGTGGTGCTTGAGTAATTTGTCATTTCTTCACCAATTTTCTTGTCGAAACTGCTGTTTGTTGTCTCTATGTGATGTCTGATTTGCAACAAGTAGTTACATTAGTTCCCTTCTTTTTTTGGGTGCAGGTGCCACGCCTCCATTGTGTTATTCATAGGAAACTCACAGTCTATGACTTTCTGCAGAACTCCCCTCTGACAGAGGTGATATATATAGAATTTGCTCTCATTTGATTGATTGATATAATTGTCTTTATGCTTTTTCTCTGTTGTACTTGATGGGATTCTTGTGTATTTCTAATCACACTATATCATACCTATTGTAGACATGTTATGAACATGCTTGTCTTTGATCCTACAGCCAAAACCCCATTTAGTCAAAGAGGCAAGGGAAGCACTGTTGAGGCATCTCACATCTATTCTTGGCAATGATGGGGTAGCAGCTCATTTCATGTTGTTGCATCTTCTGTCTAGGGTAAATGATTTTCTTTCATTCTCACGGTTTCAGTTATAGTTCATCCATGTTGACTCTACTTTTTTAGTGTATTCCATATGTTTTGTGAACCTATTCTCTTCCCACATCTGGTAATTCTGGCCTGTAAAGTAATGAGTTTTCTTAAGCAGGTACATGCCAGAGCAGATAATGTTGCTGTTGGGAAGCTTTCTTTGAACCTTACTTGTATTAGCAAAGAGATTGCATCTGTATTTGGCACTAGACTAAGTATTGTCATCAAGAATCTTCTTCCCGTCACAAAATGCATACCCCTGACTGTGGAATATCTCAACATGGCTTCTCTTGCTCCCAAAAAGGATTATCAAATAAATAGGTAGTGAATTTGTAAAGTTTGCTTCTGCAAATCAGTTGTCCTTTACATGGTATATTAAATTGGAACCACTGATCTCTGGATAGTTGCTCGACAGTCTAACATGCTTGATGTTTCAGACTGATACCTGGAGTTCTACAGCTAGCTGAGGGCTCACACTTAATGTTTGATGAGACATGTTTGGAAACAGGAACCCTCAATTCTGTTGGGGTTGAGAACGCAAGGTTGCTTAAAGCCCTGACGGAGTTGCAAAAGGTGATGGTCATTTGTGCAGTGTCCTCTTTAGTAGATAGTTAATTGGATTGAAGTGTTCCGTTAGATTATTTGTGCCCTTCTCCTAGGAGGGTGACTTCCCGTTTGTAATCATTTCTTTGAATTAAAAAGGTCTGCTTGTAATATTATAGTTTGACTGGTGGAGCGTGAATGTTAGAAAATGCTCATGTTTTTTTTCCACGACAGGAACAAATCTAGAAATTTTTTATATTAATTTTCAATAAACCTGTGTGTTGTCTCTTATCACTTGGATTTTATTGGGAGCAAGGAGGTTACTCACTATTAAGAAATTGTGTCTCAGGTTGAGTATGACTTTAAGTATTACAAGATGGAGATGATGGCTGATGTACAAATGCTAATATTGTCTGAGGGGAAATCAAACATCTTGCCAGCTGATATAATTATGCCATTCCAGCCTTCCTCGGCAGGTTCCTCAGAAGTAGTGCCTGCAGAAGTCCTGGAAGCTTGGAGATGGTACTTGGCTACTGTTAGATCTATGCCTCATTTGATCGAGGCAGATATGCAGCAGGTATGTGCTAGATTCATTTTGTAACTTGCATTGCTAGCATGAGGGTGTTCGTTTTTGCTCCCAATTGGTGCTTCCTATTTCAAGGGCATGTTTTACGTTTTCTTCCAGGTTATATTTTATCAAAATTAATTTGATACACGAGGTTCGGATAGGACTTAGCGGTTAGCGTAGAAGTTATGCAAACATATGCTAATTGCCACCCTTCAGTCCCATACCCAGAAAACCTGCAATTATTTCAAAGGCTTGTTAATTGTCTTCTCTTGTATCTGGTTTTTTGGTACTAGTCTATAGTTGGTTATCTAGGAATTATTTTATGGGCCTTGTCAAATGTGAAAAAAAGAAGCATGGAAAGCAGAACAGAATTGATAAGAAGAGGAAGAGCATCATCGTTCAACATTGATACTATTGCTATTGGTTCACAGGTGGTAGAAAATGACTTGGTTATTGCTAGGCAAGCAGATCGAAGCTTAGGCAGCCAAGACTTCAGCAGGTCATGAGCTCTAGAGTCGTCCCACCATGATATTAGCTCTCCACATCCTTATCCTGGTTTTGTTAAAGCTGTAGTCTTTCTTTTCCTTGCAGATGGCTGACAATGGGCCGCCTCATTTCTGCCAGTTTTGGCGAGACCTCACTCACATTGGAGCACTGGCAAATGGTAAAGGAGCTGGAGAGGCTAAGGATAGATAGGCTCAAGTGAAACATGCCTTTTCATGCTGGTACTCAAACATGTAAAACTAAAGGCATTCTAATAGTAAATACCTCGCCTGCTTGTGTTTGCACCCAATTCTAACCTGACCCTCCTTTTGAAGAGCTTGGATTAGCGGGCATTTCCTTGATTACATAAAAGAGGAATCCATGAAAATTTATGATCACCATTTTTATGTGATGAAGGCGGCACTGCATTGGGAGTGCCTTGTATTGTATTGGAGGTATTTATCAATTAAGGAGTAACGAAAGGGTGTTATTTGGATGCGTTAAGATATTTGTTTGTAGAGAATTTATATAGACCATTTTTCACGAACATAACAATTGGAAAGGCGAAGTTTACCTAGAAATTTCGAGGAGTTAACAAAGCTAAAACTAGTGTCATCTTTAGACTAGTTTTAGGTTCTTTCTATACATATCTAGTACAAGAAAAAGGTCAAATTCTGCAGTGGCTAGGAAGGGATTTTTTTTTTTTTAATTATTAATCTAGGTTTGATTTTTTCTCTGAATATCTATCACTTTTATGGTGTTTTATTTATTCATTGGCCAATAGGGTATTTAATAAATATAAAAATAATCAATGCTTTACTTGTTTATTGGATTTGTAGAGTATTTAGTAAATATAAAAAATAATCAAAATTAGTCATAGTATATATAATTTTTTTTGGACATTAGGGTTATAAAAATAAAAAAAGGCCACATTCTTTTTGCGAGGGAAGCTGTTTATTTAATTTTTTTCTTTAACAAAACATTATATTTGTGAGTACCCACTAAAAGAACATGCAATTATTTATATGGAGGTGTCAATCTCATTACCCACAGCAATAGCAATAGGCCTCATATTAAATAAGAATATATTACAAAACTTTGATTAAAAAGAAAAAGAAAAAACAGCTAGTAATTAGTTCATTATTCAGATAATTGGATTGCCCGCCATGATATTGTTGCCTTTTATCCAACCACTTAATTTAATATACATTGGCAATACTAAGTCATATCTGGATTATTTTCTTATATAATTTAAGATTCACATAGTCATCTTGAAGTAAAAGTCTCCCTCCCTCTCTCTCTCTCTCTCTCTCTCTCTCTCTCTCTCTCTCTCTCTCTCTCTCTCTCTCTCAACATCCAATGTGATTATATTATCTTCTTTTCATGGAATTTCTTCTTGGTATGATCCAAGATATTCTCCGGTCCTATTTGCAAGTGCATCATAGATAATGACCAATTTATATAAGAGACGCAATCAACATGGTTCTAAAAAAGAGTGACAAAGGAAGGTCTTTAAGGAGGGAGGGAAGTTTAAGGTTTCTTGGTTCTTTTCTTTTTGTAGAAATCTTTAATGGTTGTTAAGAAGAATTATGGATTTGATAAACAAGAAGAAGAATTAAGTATTGATAAAACAATTGGTAAATTAATTACAAATTAAAAATTGTCATTCTTGTAATCCTAAATGTTGTGCCTAAATGCTAGAAAACATTTTATTTTGAAATGGTTTAATTGGCTGAAATGTCAAATAGTTGAACATGGTAAATATTTTAGGGTAATAGTTTTGAATTTTTCATATCATCCATGATTAATTTTTTTATTAATTTGATTGCAAAAAAGTATATCAATATTGCTTTATTTATTCTAAATAGAAGAATACAAAAACCTTATACTAAAAATAAACAACCACATATTATTTGATTAAGAACACTAATTATTCATTTTATAAATTAGTAAGAATATAAAATTGATTATTTATCAATAAAATCAGCTATTAATAAATGAAGATAGCTAAGACTGTCCACCAATCATCGACCAAGAAGATTAAAATTAAAAAATTAATCAAATTCTATATAAAAAAAGGCTATTAATAAGATAATTAGTGGATATTATAAATTGATACAAACATAAATTACTAGTAGAAGGATGCGTGTATATATAAATAAAAAAAATATTAGGATAATGATTATATAGCACTTATTTACCATAAACAATTTGTATATAATTAGTTCCATTTCTAAAACAATATAAACATGCCATCCAAACATCTTTGAATGATGACAAATCCCATTTACATAACTTATTCTACATTTAATTCATAGCTTGATATCACTTATTGTTTTGTTTCTTTTATTGTAATGTACAGCTTCTATTTTTTAGTTTGTTCTTTGGGCATTATCCCCCTTTATTTTTTATTTTTTTTAATTCTAAACTTATTAGAGTTAAGTTTGAAAATCTATATTATGTTTGATTAGCGAGGCTACTATTATATGTCTCCATTCAAGATTAAATTCTTAATTGTAATTTCTTATTATTCATAGAAAGGTATGACAACAAAAAACATGTGGATTGATGATTATCTATTAGATCAACAAAATTGAAATGGGTTTGAGCATAATTCAATTATTGAAAGCCTATCATCACGAAAAATTGAGCATTTTGCTAGGATGAATCCGTAAGTCATATAATCATGTGGAGGATGATCAAATTATTAAAATTATCTATTAGATCAATACAATTAAAATGAGTTTGAGCATAATTTAATTATTCAAAGCCCATCATCATGAAAAATTGGGTCTTTTGCTAGGATGAACCCGCAAGTCATTTTATTTCATAATAAGCACATATAACAAGTTAGGTAAGTTGTCATAAAGACGTAACTCTGAAAATTATTCTTTAAGTTAAAATATGAAATACTTATCTTTAGTAGGATATCTTATTGTGTATTTAATTTTGACTTTGGTATAATTAATCTATTATCTTAAAATATTTGTCAGACTAGTCTTAAGTGTTCTAGTTGCCTTTAAAACTAGGTGATGATTTTTTTATTTGTCTTTACCGTTTTAATTTGCCTGAATATCCTCTATAATGGGAAAAAAAATTGAACCTACCTACACACCATATAAATACACTACAAACCCTTATATAATCACATAGACATATCAAAAACCTAGGCTAAAAAAAAGATTAGAAATAGAGAGAATAATGGTAGGATATGACATCGTTGACCGTGTTATGCACAGACCATCCTTTTTAGATGATTTTGTTGCCATTAGAACAAGTAATCTAAACACCACAACATTTCCCTTCAGCATGAGTATTCCTCATTTGCTCTCTCCAAGGTGACTCACTCACCCTTTTCTAGTTCCTATCTTTTTGTTTTTTATGCAAACATGTCCATAGATTTGTGGTTATTCTAGCTATTATGCTCTTGATCTTTCAATTTTGACATGTATATCATCGAACATTATTCTTCTAGTGTAATTATCACCCTATATTTGATATGCTTCACGATGATTTGTTAATTATATATATATATGTATGTATGTATGTATAATTTGGTGTTCTTGATGTGATTCATACAAATATTGGGTGATAGTTAAACTCTAATTTGCTTAAATTGGGTTAAATTGAAAAAAATTAATATAAGACCTTTAATTTTGTTGATATATTAAAAGGATTTTCAATTAAATTTTATGATTAATGTTTGGTTGATTCATGATGGATGGATATGCAATATTTAAGGTTATATTTCTATTGTTGATGTTGATTATTGTTATTGTTGTTTAAATTTTAAATTTTTAATAATTGGTGGTCAAAGGTGATCTTATATAATATGTTAGTTTTTTTTCCCGTCGAAGCTAGTAATATGCTAACTTTTTTATGCATGTAAAAATTAAAATAACCAACAAAATTAATACATCAAGAGCCATGTTAAAGTCATTTGATTAAATTTAATTTTTGCATGGTCATATTTGTTTGATCAATCATCCTTGCATGTCCTGGAAGGTCTCTGCTTATATGGCTCTTTCTGGCAATTGGTGTTGGGATATGCTTAATGATTTATCATCAAATGCATTTCGTTTAAAAATCGTCGGCGTTCGTCCACTTAATCCAAATTCCGGTGAAGACAGGATTGTATGGGGTCTTCCTAATAATGATTATCTTACGACAAAGTCTGCATATAATTTCTCGTTAGGTACTAACAGAAGAAGATAGTGGACTTTGTAACCTAATCTGCAAGTGTTAGGACCCCAAACGGAATCATTCATATTTTTATGGTTGAATGCAAATGGGAAATTATTGACTAATGTAAGGTTGAAATGCCATCTCTGTGATGTTGTTACTTGCCATTGTTATGGCCGTACACCAGAATCATTCATCCATGTTCTTAGGGCTGTTACTTAGAGGAGACCCTGATCACGGTAATTACAGTCAAGTAATGGCAGCCATTACAGAGCTTCTGCAACGCCAATGGCAAGTTCAGTTACGCCAGATTCTATAGGAGGACATTTGTGGACCTGCTCACTGAAAGATTTTGTGCCGTGAAAACACCACAGTTATTTGATACTCCTAAATAAAGTTTATTATTGAGGTGATTAATGATTTACATCAAAACGATTACGGCCGTGATTCCCTCATTCGATTAATATAGGACGAAAATTACAAATTTTGTTACATACGACCAGTAGTAAATATAAATACCCCGCAGTTCTTGAAGGAAAACTCATGCAGTAGAAGGCTGCTACAGGCATGGACATTTCTTGACTACTTAGGCATGCTGGGGACTCTAGGAGCAGCACTCTCTCCTTGCTTTTCATAGTAATGGTAGACTGCAGCACCCGATAGGACTGCAAGTGTTATGGCTTGGGCATGCAACCTGCAGGCCCCCAGAAAAGAACCATGAATATGACAAGCTAGTAAAACAAGCAGTAACTGCGCTAGTATTAATTTCACACACACATGGTAGAAAAATACGACAACTGTGTAGAGAGATATCGGTACACAACGCACCTAGCATGTATAAGCCTAAGACTTGGCTTGACCAGAGGTGTTCTTGCTCGCGTATAAGCCAGTGAACCTCCAATTGCAGTTGCCCATAGCGTTCCTGCATCACACAAGTTGCTTAGGAAAGAAAGCAGACACAACCAAACGAAATGGGAAAGCAGGACATGGCTAGTATGATCAAACCGCAATTACTAACCAATGCTAGCAAGCTTGTGCTCTGAAACCCATGACTGAATTGCCTCCATCTTCATGCTTATCTGCACCTCTTTTATCGATACACCGGAGAAAATTAGAGTGGATAGACTGTGTGGGAGTGGCGCCGAGGTAACTAAGGTTGAATGGCGGTTTGTATTTATAGACAAGAAAGGTGATGTTGAAATATGAGCGAGCTTTACTGTTCTTGCCGCGGCCCCCTGGTTTGATCGCAATGGAAAGGAACTGCTTACACTTTTCTTGGAACACTGAAACTATAAACAAGAGGCTCCCTCCCCTACCTGGTTTTGTTACCGGTGGTGATTTTCTTTAGGAACATGTGCCCACGTGAGGTTTGTACGCCCCGGTGCCACTGGATTTCAATTAAATCTAGGAGCACAGAGATATGGGCACATGGTAAAGCCAATCATCGTACTATTCTTCATGGGTGGGTGCAGCGCATTGACCTTAAAGCAAAAGGGTTTAGCTTTTGTTTTCAGTTTTCACTGACACGTGGCGTGAAAAACTTTTTAGAAATTATTTTTTAATTTAACTTTATGTTAATATAATTATAAACAAACATTCTTATATATAAATAAACAAATGGATAAAATTAGGAAGGAGAAGGAGAAGGAGACATATATATTTTTAAAAAATTATTATTTCTTGATTTGTGTAATTTTTCGGTTTTAACACTGCATAGTTTATTTAATAAAAAATATTTAAAAAAACTATAATGATTTAAAAAATATATTTTTAATCAAAAATATAATTTTTTATTTATGAATTTCTTTTTTATTTTAACAGAAAAACTCACTTAGAGGAAGGTCTTTTTGTAATGATAACCTCGAAACCATCATTTTTTGTCTACGAGAAGTCTTAATTTTTAAGTACAAATTTATTATAATACTGAATAAAGTTTTTTTATAAATTTAAAAAACTATATATCAACTGTTTTTACTAATCTATAAGGGAAAAAAAATAGAACAATATATTTAAGACAATTGAGTAAACATTTTATAATAAAAATAATATTTTATGTTCATTTAATATTAAACTAGCAAGTTATTTAAGAATTTTACATATTGTGATAATATATTATTATTGATAATAGCACCATAAAAAAACTTTAATATAACATAATTGAACAATCTTAAATGCTATTTTTATAAATTTATTTAAATATTTTTTTTTTGTAAAAAGACAAAATATATCTTTATAAAAAAGGCAAGATGCTCATGGGCAAGAAAAAAAGTTTTTGTACTTCGCCTAAAAAAGAGTTTAGGCTTAAGCCACGCCCACATGCTTCTTCTTGTTTTTTTTTTTTCTTCATCTTTTTCTTTTTTTTTTCCTTCTTCAATGGGGAAACAACCTTGTTTTATATATAGAGGGCAATGCGTTGCCTATCTCTTATGATGGCAGAAAGTTTTAAGTTTTTGAATTTTAAAATTTTAATTTTTAATTTATTTTCTTTTTAAAATATCCAAAAAAACCTTTGAATCTTAATAAACCCATTATAAAATAGCTTATAATCATTTTAAAAAATTAAATCAATTTTTTTTTGGATCCTTATCTACTTTTTATGACATATTAAAAAAATATCATTTTTTATTGAATCTCTCTTTTTAAAATGAATTTATTAATACTAAAATCAATTTTTTTTTAACCGGAATATCATCAACTAATCATTTAATCTCTCTCATATTATTTTTTAGTAAATTTTTATCTCCTCTTAAATTTTAAAAACTACAACGTAAAATAAAGTTCAGGGATTAAACTTTAGAATTCAAACATCAAGCTCTCAAAATATAGGGGGGGTTAAAAATAAAAAAAGCAAACACTTTAAGGATCAAATTGTATTTTTACACACCCCATAGACATAAAAGAGTATAACTAATTTTTTTGTTTAAATATCAAATTTAATCCCTGCTATTTTAATTGATAAAACTAAACCTCATTTTACAAAATCGAGCATCCATTTAATGCTTGAACATTTTAAAAAATTGGAACTATAATGTAGCACATGAATTAAAAACAAATTCTTAAGTCTAAAAAGGTGTAAGCATAATCTGAGAACGAAATTAAAAAAAAAAAATTGCAGTGATTGTAATGTATAATTTTAAAAAGGACAAAAAAAAAAGGACAAACTAGTTGCAATATAGCAATCGAAGTGCAACCGAGTCTTGAGATACAACAAAAGAAATAGTAAAATACTATTCTCTTTTAGTTTATTTATTATTCTATGCCATTTAGTTTCATTAAATTTATAATTTTCATGTTTATTGTTCATCTGTTATGTGCTAAAGATTGTTCATGTTAACGTCGGAAATGTTTTCTTCCATGTTGGCCCATCAAGTGGTCCTAGGTGTTTCCTTTGATCATAGTTTTTTGACGGGCTGATAGTCAGCCCAATTTAAAACAGTTTTAACCGGATTATTAGATTGTTTAGGTTAATTTTTTAAAAAAATTAAAATAATATTATTTTAATAAAAAAATTAATAGTTTATAATTATATTTTTGATCGAGTTTTATTTTTCTATTTTTTCTTTAATCAAATTCCAAATCAATTTACTGGACTAGATTAAGTTTCAAAACAATACCTTCAATAATCATTGTTTTTATATTTTTATTTATTTTGACTACTAGTAAGCAAGTGATTAAAAGTGTGTTATGTGGTAGCCTACCAAATTACATTAAAGTTATATTTGTCTTTGTGATGATATATATATATATTATATATATATATATATATTAAATAATTTTTTTAGATATTATTAAATTATTTTAATATACTGATATTAAAAATAATTTTAATAAATAAATAAAATAAAATATTTTTTTAATATTTTTTTAAAAAACATACTTAAAAAAAAAACAATTATTCTGCTAAATATCCCCATCAAATTACCGTGACCTAGAATCATAGTTAGAAAAACTTGCAGTTACTATTCATCTATTGCGTGCTCTCTTACAAGTGGGTTCATGTCAACGTGGGGAGTTTTTTCTTCCACTTTAGTACATTAAGTTGTCACAAATGTTGCCTCTGGTCATTGTTTTTTTAATTTTTTTTATTAACAATAACCTATAGATAAAATAAAAGGAAAATTACTATAGCTCTGGTAACATATCACTGTTTGATTGGAATAGTTATTTACCAGACTTTGAATGGGATTAGATTAGTCATTTTGTTTTTTATTGCATAGTAACATTACCAATTTAACCCTATAAAAAATATAATGTCTACTGCTTATGAGTGTTTTGGTTTTTTCAATTTTTTTTTAAATAATGTAATTATTTTGTTGTCTTTAAAAACAAAATAAATCAATATAACTTTTTCACAAAGTTTTTTTTTATTATTAGTTTTATTATAAGTTTAAGGGTTACACATGAATATTATTATAATTAACATATATTAAATGTTATAAAAAAAATGCTCATGCGTATCTAGAACGCACTTTGAAGAAAAGGGCTTTGATATCTTCCAATATATAAATTTCTTTATTGTGATTATAGGTTTGATTGTAACCCCTTTTTTGTAATTTTAATTTTATAATAGAATACTAATTTTGTGTAGCATGGGTAGAAATGATTTTTTTTATTGGTAATAAAAACATGTTTTAAAAAAGTAAAGAAAAAAGAAACTTGGGACACAGATACACTGAGCAAAAAAATATTGATACAATTAATCATATAATAAAAAAACAACAATTACAGTAAATGAACCAATTCAAATAAAAAAAAATCATGGTAACCTGTAAAAAAAAATAGTTAAAGAAATGAAAGGACATTGGAGATAAAATTCTAACAAGTCAAACATGGAGGAATAGAAAGAAAAAAACTCAACCTTAGCTAACTTGAGCAAGTATATCAAATATAAAAACTAAGTTACGAGATTGAAATAATTCAATGTAAAAAAAATATCAAATTCAATTCCAAACAAATCCAACATAAAGGGATTAAATTTAAAAGAATATAAAAAAAAAGAAACAAAAAAAAAATACAAAGCAAACATAACAAGGAATATAAAAACAAAAAATAGAAAGCAAAATAAAAAAAATATATTATAAAGCTCAATTTTAAAACAACATGATGTCAAAGGAAGAAATATAAAAAATATTTTTTTTAAATGATTGTAAAAAAAACTGAGCTGACTCACCATACTCATAGTCTAAGTGATATGATCAGGATAAACAAATATTAAAAAAATAAAAAAACCAATATAAAAAACCTCAACTTTGAATAAGGAAACTAAAAAAAAAAATTAATTTACTAAGAGGATAAAATTAAAAAAAATATATCAATTTAAAAAATTAGCCAAAGTAAACATAAAAAAACTCATAAATAAAAAGCTTCCAGATACCATAAGTTAATTTGAAAATTCACAAAAACAATCTTATAGAAAACATATAAAAAAACGAAGCCTAATTGCTAATAATATAAATCTTAAAAGATAAAATAAAAAAAAATAAAAAACACAAGATTTGAAAACTAGTGAAAAAAACAAATAAACTTAGACGAACTTTCTAAATCTATACTAATATCAATTTAGACAATTAGCCAAAGAAAGTTCAACAAAAAACAAAAAATTAAAAAACTTAAAATAACCTAGGTCATTCTTAAAACCAGTGAAAAACTTAATGGAAAGAAAATAAAAATAAAAATAATAGAGCTCTATCTCTAATTGAATAAATTTTCAAAGATAAAATTGAAAAAATATAAATTTTTTTAAAAAATATCAAGTACCTAGACGAACTCTATAAACTTGGGTGTACCTCTAAAACTCACAGATCTTGAAATTCTAGATCCAAACTCAAAAGAAAAGCTAGATTATTAATCAATTTAATGTTGAAGGATAAAATCAGAAAACAATAATAACTTAAAATTTTTTTCAAAGTAAAAAATAGCAATCAAAAAAATAAAAATCAAGTTTGATAGGAAAAAAAAGTTGAGGATAAAATTATATAAAAACATCTATTTAAAATTTTATTTTAAATAAAATAAATAGCAATAAAAAAGAATAAGAATCAAACTTGAAAGATTAGAAAACTGCAGGGGGATGAAATTGAAAAAAAAAATTTAATTTTATAAATTATTAAAAAACAATTTCAAATATTAAAGGATGAAATAAAAAAATATTAATTTAAAAAATTAGCTATTTTTTAAATGATAAATAAAAATATTTGAGATAACTTGATCA